GATCCCCAAGTCACAGCCCCCTCCGCAGCGGTCCCGCGGGATGCTCCGACAGCCGGAGCTGGCGAGCGGCCCCGCTCCTCACCCCGCGGCTGCCGGGCCCCCGCCTCCCTCGCAGCCGGGAGCTGCGCCGGAATGCAAATGATGCTCCAGGCGAGTGCCAAGAGCTCCTTGTTCCTTCCCCAATTTAGGACACCTCTCGGTGCTGCAGCCCGCACGGAGTTCGTAGGAGGCTGCAAGGGTGCCAGAGGAGCTGAGCCTGCCCAGGGTGACTCTTCGACAGCAAAGCTGCACCTTGCAGTGCAATTTTCCCTTCCCTTGGAACTGTTCCCTCAGGACCACAGCCCTGGATCACAGCTCTGAAAGAAGCTCCACATGGCAGAAGCCCTTCTACCTGCTGCCCTCCTGGGCACAACACGGACTCCCCGGTGTATCCCCACACACCAGAGCTGTGGCCCCACCGTGCCAGCTGCAGGCACTGCTGCCTCAGCTCCTGGAGCAGAATCAGGGAGCCCGGAGGAGCGATCCTGCTGCCGAGGTGAAGAGCCAGGGATGTGGGCTGGAGGAGAGGCTGGAGCGCAGCACAGCCTCACTTCCCACAGCCACGGGGAGCGGGGATGGCAGGGCACATTGAATTTCCCCGCAGCCCTCACGTTAGGGCTGTCGGGCTCTGGCTCCATCCCCTGGTTCACCCCACACCCGTCCCAGGCCTGGCTCCCTGACAGGCTCCCGCCGGCGTGAGCAGGTTGTGGCACCGCTGCCGCTTCCCGCGGCTCCCACCGTTACTCAGCAGCCGAGGGAACAGCTCAGAGCTACAAGGTCACTCAAAAACACCATCTGTCCACACACTGCTCCTCGCCCTGGGGAGAGCAGCAGAGAAATTATTTCAATGCACTGAAGGCCACTGTGCCCCACTCCACTGCCCTGCTGCACACCAGCATCTCACAGTGCTCATTCAGCCTCGGTTCAGCGAGGGGGGACCAGAGCATTGATGTCCACTGATGCCCCCCACACCCTTCACACCACGAGGGCACCCGGGGGCTCCAGGAGTTGACAGGGAACCCTCCCAGAGTGCTCATGGCAGGGTGAGATGTTTGGTGCTGGGGAGAGACTGCCTGTGCTGGCCAGAGCCACCTCCACCTCCGTGACCGCTGGCTGGTGGCCTCACCAGTACCATGGAGTGGGGGGCAATGGTGGGAGTGTAGCCCACTTTGCATGAGGGGAAAAAGTCACAGGAGCACCCCAATATCGGCAGGAACTGCAGCCCCAGGTCCCTACCCCCTGCACTGCCCAGGGACTATTTCTGGGGAGCTGAAGTCACTTGCATTTGGGCTCTGAAGTCACATTTGTCTCTGCTTGTGCTAATTCTCCCACACCCAGAAGTGTCACAACACGGCGCTGTCTCTGTCGCGGCAGTTGTCCCCCACATGCCACATCCCAGATGCTCCTGTGCTGCTGCTCACAGCCAGGTGCTTCCCCAGCCCCAGGCTCTCGCCAGGATGGTGTGGGGCTGCTAGCACCGGCTGGGTGCACGGGGGCACTGACTCACACCCAGCTGCAGCAGTAAATAAATATTTGCTTTGAGCAAACCCTATCCCAGGAAGCGCACCAAGCTGTGCCCCTCATCCACGGGCATCTTAGCAGCTACTTCCTCCATCCACCAGCCCCTGCTGTGGCTCCATCCTAGATCTGCGTGGCCCCAGCTGCCGTGCTGAAGCAGAGGGGGGCACTGCCCCCAGGGCTGCCCAGCAGGAGCCCCCTGCATCCCAATGGCCCTGGCACCCTGCGCCACGCTGGCCACATGGCCCCGCAGTGAGTCCCACTGTGTGCATGATCCCTTCCATATGGGAGCAGCCAGCGGAGCTGCCAGCTCCCAGCTCCAGCGCTCGCTGCTACATCTGGAAACTCTTCTCACCCTTAATTGTTTCTAATGCCTTAACACACGGAGTGACTAATAAGACACTAATTGGGCGGCGTTAGCAGGGAGCGGAGCCGGAGCGCTGGCAGTGCCCTCCGTGCCAAGCTGCCGGCTCCCAGCGCTGCGCTGCTGTGTGCTGCCATCACCACAGATCCCTCTGGACTCCGGCGCCTTTCCCTGCTCAGCCTCTCCCAGCGTGCTGCAAAACCCGCCCCAGCAGTGGGGAGAGCCAAGAGAAGCCAATTTCAGCTCTACCGAATGGTCCCTGTGCTCCAGGAGCCAGGGCAGGGAGGGCACAAGGTACACCCCAGCAGGGACATCCCACACACTGCCAGCCCTCGAGCAGAAAGGCACCGGGAGACCCCAAGAGCTCCCCTCTGACTCCTCACCAGCACGGTGCCTCTGGGCACGTACTGGCAGCACTGGGATGGGCTCGTGCTTGGCATTGCCCACGCTGAGCCAGGGCGAGAAGACAAGTGATGAATGGCCACGGGAATGCACCTGCTCCGAGTGATTTATGGCTGGTGGGGAGCCAGGCCAGAGGACAGCTGCATTTGGGACCCTCCCCGTGCCCCAAAGAGCTGTGGGGTGATGCCCCCACCTCATTTCTGGGGCTGCCCTGTCTCCCTGGGAGCTCCCATGGGACTGCCAGCCCTGCCTGCACATCTGCTGGCAGCACTGTGCTCGCCAGAGCTGCTCAACAGCAGGAAAGAGGCACAAATCTTGTTACACACTGGCTAAGCCTCCCTGGGCATGTTTTCTATAAATCTCCTGGAATTTATTATATGATAACTAGCCTGGAAAAGCTAAATTAAATCCACAGCCAAGAAACTGACTTTCAAGTGTGACCTAATTTAGTTGCTGGAAAGGGAGGGAGGGAGGGAGCAGGGATCCCGGTGCCAGTCGTTCCCGGGCTGACCTCCCGGTGCAGCCGCACACCCCCCGTCCTCCTCTTCGCCGTGACTCTGGGGACGGAGCTGCGCAGCCTTTCATGTCTGAGCGGATCTCACACTCCCACTCGCCGGAACAAAAGCGCCTCAAGGGCTCCCCTGTCAGATGTTTTCCATTGCTCATCTCCAAGTCTTCCTTGAAGGAGCACTCTCCTCCCGGGGGTGCTCCAGCAGGCTTGGGGATGATGGGGAGAGTCGCTGCAGGGGCTCTGCACTGGCTCCAGGCTGCTCCCCACCAGCCCAGTGAGCCCCAAGCTCGGCACCAGCACCCACACGTCCCACGGCTGGCAGCCCTGAGCCTCACGCAGGGCCCAGCCAGGCTCCAGGAGAGGAGGAGGAAAGCAGCGGGGAGAAAAGCTGGATAGGGAAGAGGCTTGGTGGCCTGAGCTCCAGTGAGCCCACTTCTGCCCTGGTGACCAAAGCGTGTGCTGGCAGCAATAGCTGCACTGGCCTTGCAGACAATTCACAGCCCTCCCAATGCAGGGGCACGACGTGCATTATGGCTGGGGTGACAACCTGTCTGCCTTCCCCTGAAAAGCAGCACAGTCCCAGCCCCAGAGCCAGACATCCCCCAGCGATGCACAGGGTCCTGGGAGAAACTCCCAGCGCTCCCACTTTGGCCAGGACGCTCACAACAGCTGGCTCCACAGGGGCTGGGCAGGACCTCGCACCCCTTCACCTCAAAGCTGCCCACCCGTGGGGCTGCTGGCTCAAGGCAGAGCGGGCGCAGGAGGCAGGAGCAGGGCACGGGCAGGGCCCGTGGCGAGGGCGACGTGGGCACAGCGGGACCACGGTGCTCCGGCAGACCCGGGGGTGGCTCGGGGCTGGCACGCGGACGCGTGCTGTTGTTCTGGAACGGAGTGCACTGGCAGAGCGGCATGTGGGAAGCTTGCATAATAGTGCCAGCCCACACTACGCCTGCTCCTTCCCAGCATGATCAGCCCCTTGCTTTCATGAGCAATAACATCCACCCAAAGTTTTCTGAAGACAAAAAAAAGACCTTCAAGGTGATGCACAGAGCTCAGCTGCCTTTCCTGCCTCTGAACTGATTAATGCAGCTGGGGAATCCATCTGCATGGCCACTCTAATGCCATAGACCCTATACCCCAGCACGGGACAAGAAGCCTCAAGCTCCCATTTTGTGATGCCTGAGCAGGCACCTGGGGCTGGGGCAGAGCAGAGGAGCCAGTGTGCACTGGGCAGTGCTGCGAGGGGGGCACACACAGCCCCCACACTGGGAGCCCTGCTGGTGCTGCACAGCCCCAGGGCACTCCTCCTGCCCAGGCTCTCCCCTTGGCTACTGCCAGCTGGAAGAAGAACAGTCCCACCTCTGGGGGTCCCCCTGGCACAGTGGTTGGTGCAGAGGGCACTGGAAGACAAATTCTCTTGCAGAACAGCCCCAAGCAGAGCCCAGTCTCTGCTCACCATGGCTGCCACAGCATGGCCATGACTCTCTGAGCACCTGCTGAATCTGTGGGTGCTTGCAGTGCTAGGAACAAACAGGGGAAAACCTCATCTGGAGGAGAGAGTCCCACTGCCTGCGAGAGTTTTAAATTTTAATTCCTCCTCAAGCTGGTGTGAGCTCCCAGTGCAGACTGGTGTCAGCACGAGAGATTCCAGTCCCTGTAACGTGAACTGACGGTGATGGGTTCAGCCCAGACCACACGGAGCTGCACGCAGCCCTAAGGGGAGTTTGCAGCATGGTTGGCATCAGGAGCGGGGTCTTGGCGGGTCCAGCCGGGCTGCGACGTGCAGGGCTGTGTATGCATCATGGGCACGCACCCCTTCCCCTGCAGGGGCACCACCAAGGTGCCGCATGCTCCGGGACCTCCACACTCCTGCAGAGAGCAGGAGGGAGACAGCTGGGACTGATCAATGCATCCCAGACACCCCCCATGCCATATCCACGAGGATAGAGCAGGCGTGGCTTGTCCCAGCGACGTTCTCCTTTGCCAGGTCAGCACACAAGAGTCAGGACACACAGGATCTGTACCCAGGGCTGCTGCTAAGTCCCTGGTGGGCTGATTGTGAGCTGCTGCCCCAGGCACAGCCATGGGAAGCAGCATCTTCATCCTCAATCAAAGAATTATCTCCATGCCCTTCCCTACTGGGACTGCTGGGTGGAAATAACATACCTGAAGACCAAGAGCAGGTGCCTCAGGTGTGGTGGCAGGTGGGAACTCACACTCGTGTTCACCCCTCCAAGCTGTCAGGAAGAGCCGTCAGGGTCTCAGAGCAGCAGTTTCTCAGCCTGAAAGAGAGAGGGAGAGGCTCCAGTCCCGTCCCTGTGTAGGCACCGCCGCTAATAACAGAGGAGGACGTGGCGGAGCTCGGCGCTCAGAACGCCACGGCTCCAGGGACTCGCACGCGCTTGGCCCACTCCTTCAGCAGCACAATTATCTCATGGCTGGGAGCGGCTCTGCCATGTGCAGGGGCAGGACCCTGCCCAGTGGCAAAGCCCCTGAGGAGAGGGGAGTGTGCTCGGCCCAGGGAACAGGTGATGCTTCTACCCCTCTCAGCCCCTAAATTATCAGGCTAGCCCAGAGATATGAGGCTCTTACCCCGATGTGGTTGTCTTGCTTCTTTATTCATTGAGGTCCGGGGGAAAGAGAGGGGGAAAGAGGGTGAACAGGAAGGGTCATCGCCTTATCTAGGCTCTGGACAGGGAGGGCTTCTGGGCTCCCCGCCAACCCCGTCAGGGCAGGAAGGAGGGGACCAGGCTTGTCTGATCAGAGTCACAGGGTCCCGGGAAATGGGGGAAAGCATGGCTCGAGTGCACTGTAACAAACAGGGTTCAGCTGCACGGGGCATGCAGCAAGTCCCAGCTTTCGGTCCCCAGTGGGACATGTCTAAGTCTGTGCACTGACACAAAATGCTGAAGCTGGTCCTACCTCGCTGAGAGCATCAGCCCTGGCCTCTGATGAGTGCATGGGATGGAGACAAGGAGAGGCAAAGACTTCTTCCTAAAGGAATAAAGTCCCCAGCCCACCTGTTCCCCCAAAGGCTTTCTGGAGGCCACCGGCAGCTCCACGTTTCATTTCCCCCGACACAGGCTGAACAGAAGATAATTTAACAGCTTGTCCCCCATTGTAATGGGACTTCTTCCCTGTTCCCCCGGGCAGCCCATCCATCACAGCACAGAGCAGTGACATCCCCCTGGCACCTCGGCCCTCAGCCCTCCCTTGTGCCATGAGTTATGACACCTGCACCGTGCTGTGGGATGGGCTCAAAGCACCAGCTCCACTCCAGGAGGTGAGATTTATCCCCTCGGCGGAACAGGGGCAGAAGCCAGGAGATAAGTCACAGCTGAGCTGCAGGAGTGGCGCTCAAGGTCCTCCAAGGTTGGCTCATTAAAAACCCAGGAGAAGAGGAAGACAAGACCTGCCTGCTGCTGTGGCTGCGAATCCCCTCCTGACGCTGAACCAGCCACAGCCAAGAGGGAGGTGGGAACAGAGCTGGGCCCCCCAGGCTGACTCTGCAGCAATCCCTGGGGCAGGCTGCTGGCCAGGGCTTTGTGAAGCCACTAGTGTCTCCCAGACACCATCCCAGCACATTCCTATAGCCCCAGCAGACAGGGATGGGCTTCCCAGCAGTGCAAAGCCAGTAAAAATCCAAGAGGCAGCTTACAGAGGTGCTTGGATGCTGCCCCCACCAGCAGACCGGAGGCACCCACTCTGGAACTGGCATCTACAGTCACCCAGCACACCAAGCATGCTGCTGGAAGTGAGCACCGTCCCTGCAATGGGCACCATCACTGATCTGGAGACAGACCACAGAGAACCCACAGAGATACAGTGAACATCGCAGGCACTCCCCAGACTTGCTGGAATTCCCTTCCTGCTTCATTAGTCCTGCTCATTAGGTTCTGCTGATCAGCAGGCATAGCTAGAGCTTGGCAGCATCATTCCCCAGCCCTTCCATCCCAGCCTCTTTAATGTTGGTCTGTCACAGCCGGTCCCCTAAACCCCCTTGGTGTCCCCTAAACATCCCTTGGCTGTCCCCTTGCACAGGCTCTGCCACCAGTCCCTGTTCCCTCCCTGCTGTGCTTTGTGAGTGACCAGGATCCACGGTGGAGCTGAGGGCTCAAAAGGGACTCACACTGCAGGGTTTGCCCCACACTAAACCCCTCCAATCATGTGCAGCAAGTGCAGGATAAGACAAACACTGGGAAAACCCAATAGCATCACTGAAACTAACTGAACACAGCAGGATTTTTTCAGCACCTTCTATTTTCAAAAGCAAACCCGTATGAGTGCAGGACAGGGGCTGGCATGTTCTCCACTGGAACGGATGCTGGGCAGCATCCCTCAGCATTAGCAGCATCTCTGCAGCACCTGCCACTGGGAAAGTGTTCCTTCCCCAGGAGGGACGGGAAAGTGAATTGCAGATCCCTACGGGGCATCTCCCCCAGGAGCCACCGGGCTTCTACTGCACACTAAACCACAGCGATTAGATCAACAAGCCAACCCCTGCAAGGCTGAGAGATTTTATCAAAGCCAGCAGCACCTCAGGGAGGAGATGGGAAGATGATGCAGCTGCCCACAGCATCTGCAATCCCCGGGCCAGCCTGGCGGCTGCTGCAGGAGGCAGGACCAAGGCTGGACCGCTCATTTTCAGGAGGCTGAGCCTCTCCCGCTGCCTCCATGCTCCCAGGACGCTGGTCCTGGCCCCGGCCCGATGCCTCCTGTCAGATCCCACCGTGGCAGTGGGGTGCCACAGAAATGCCCCTCTGCAGGCAGGGCTGGGGGGCAGCAGGAGCTTGGGAGGCAGCTGCCCGCAGTGCCCTGGATTGCAGAGGAGTGGGGAGAGGAATTTTCTTTCAGCAACAAACTCGCTGAAGCAGCACTCGGCACCTGCACAGCCCCAGATACAGCTCCTGCTCCAGCCCAACCTGGAGCTATTTCCCACTTATCTGCGCCACAGCTGATATCTGTGCAGCAGAACACGGCGCTCAGTAATAGGATTTTGATGCTAAACAGAAGATGTTTTTTTCCCCGGGTCTCACTTACGTCACACCTGGAGGTATCCACGGCCATGGAGGTGACACTGAGGAAGGCTAAAGAGTTTCAACTCCTGCGCTGAGTGAGCAGCTTCTCCTTCAGCTGCTAAACAGCAGAATTACAGTGATCTAGCATTGCCTGCTCTTGTCGTGCCCCCACCCCAACACAGCCCTGGGGAGGGGAGGGAGGAGAGCACACCCCCACTGCCCCCACGGCTGGACGGAGCCCGCTCCTCACGCAGCTCCCGTGGGAGTGACCAGAGCCCCTTGCTGCTGGGGCTGAGCTGGGGGCTGGGGAAGCCTGCATCCCATGGGCACCATCTGCTCCCCGTGCTCCTCGGGCCCCAGGGGTGTGCTGGGGGAGCCTGAAACCCACAGACATCACCTGTAGCCCACAGGCATCACCCACTCCCGTGGGCATCAGCCGCTTCCAGCACTCCCCCAGCCCCAGGCACTGCTGTCAGCTACAATCCTGTGCCACAGGGACCACCCACACACCACAGCAGCAGCAGTACCACAGAGACAGGCTTGGGTGGCAGAGCCACACTTGCAGCTGCCTCAGGGAAAGGGGAGGAAGGCTTATCACCTCCCTGCCACCCTCCTCGCCACAGGAGCCAGAGGAAGGTCCCACGCACCCCCAGTGCTGGAGCTGGGAAAGTCTCTGCCTGCCACAGACAAAACCAGAGCGAGGGGAACCACCCCCGCGGGTGCGAGTGACATCTCATCCGTGGGAATGCTGCCGGCACAGCGGCAGGGCTGTCACTACTCCCATGGCACAGCCCGGGTGGCCAAGGGCAGAAAAGCCACAGGCTGGCAGTGCTGGGAGAGGCTGGCCAAGGCCAAGACCAGCGAGTCACGGCCGGGCCTGGCACACTGGGCCAGGCTGAGCACGCCCGGGCCAAGAGGTGCTCAGTGGTGCATGGGGATTGTGGGGTGCACGCTGACCACGGGGTGCACGCTGACCATGGGGTCCTATACTGACCATAGGGACCCATGCTGACCGCAGGGTGCACTGACCATGGGGTCCCTGACCACTGCAGTGGTCGGCTCTGGCTGTGGCCGCAGTGGTGCCCAGGCCAGCCCCGCTCCAGCTGACCCAAGGAGCACAGGCACAGCTCTGTGCAGGCGAGCACAGCCCCAGGGCAGCTGTGCCAGCCCCAGGGCAGCTGTGCCAGCCTGGCCCCCATGGCACACAGAGGTGTGCCCACGGGCAGGGCAGTGCCAGCAGCCCCTGCAGCAGGGACAGGGTGCCAGCAGCCGGGGCAGCCCTTGCTGTGGCAGAGGGATGCCAGCAGCTGGTCGCAGTCTGTTTTCCTGCACAAGAGCATTAAGCATTCCACATGGCACTTTTGCTGTAAATCACTTCCTATTCAGGCTCACTGCTGAGGGTCTCTGAAGGTCGATTTTCCATGGTTATGACAACAAAAACTAAAATTGGGTCAAACCTGAAAGGTATTATCTTTCTCCAAGCTGCTAAATGCACAATAGTAATGAGGTTGGTTAAGCAGTTCACCCCCAGCCTGCATTATTTGCTCTGAAGATGTATTAACCAGTTAAATGAGCGTGATAAGGCAGCCCTGCACATCCCTCCCACCAGCCACACGGAAGATCTGAGGTTCTGGGTCTCCATATCCCTGTTAATAACCGAGACCACGGCCCCACCGACAAAGGCGGCCGTGCCATGCGGCTCTGGGCTGGGCTCTGCCCGGCCTGACCCACGGGAACACAAAGGCAACTTTAAAGGCATCCAGCAGCTCAGAGCCACTGGAAAAAATAATTATCGTTCCTCCACCCCTCTCTCTTTCTTCTTCTTAACACTCTCCCTCCTCCAAGCTCCTGATGAAAGAACAAACCCACCGCCTGCCCCATCAAAGGCGGTTTAGCAGCATCCCGACACCAGGATGGGGAATTATCCCTGGCAAACACATGCAGCTGACCTGGCTGCCACCACCCAGCACGGGACCCAGGGGTGCGTGGAAAACCCATCCAACCATCCCATAAGCACTGGAGGTCACTTCACAGCAGCCTCCAAAAGATGCTGCGTGCCCGCGGCAGAGCTCTCCATGCAGACCTGCTGGCAGGGTGCAGGATGGGCTGCCCAGGGAGGCCCCACCCTAGTGGAGCTGCAGGACCAATTGTGGGACATAAACAATATTTGTTTTTATGGGATTTCTGCTATTTTTCCTAAAACAAACACCCATTAACATAAATATAACTGATGTAAACAAGCATGACCCTAAAATCCATGTGCA